TTTTCTTCTCTCTCTCTCTCTCTCTCCCTCTCTAGCTTTATTTTATTTCTTTAATTTCATGTATTTAAATTAAAATTAAAAAATAGAATTAAATAAAAAAGTTGAAACTTTCCCCTTTTATTCCCCATCCACCCCATCTTTCACTCTTTTCTGTTTTTTAAAAATTGAATTGGATTTTTCGTTTTTTTTGGTCGGATTAAATTAATTTTATTTTTATTCATTTAAAATATATTTCTCTTTCCTCTTTAAACTATTATTAAATAATTCGAGTAAATTTTAATTTTGTGTATTTAAATTGAAATTAAAATCAGTTTAAAATTTTTTCTAGTCCTATCGATTAGTTAGATTTATCATCTGTTCAATTAATTGTATTGTTAGTAGCAGTTTGAATAGTTCAGGTTAATGGTTATTAGCTCATGGTCAAGGTTATGATCATGGTTATAGTTCATGGTCATCGTCATGGTCATCATCCGTTTCGTTATTTTATTTTATTTTTATTTTTAATAAATCATATAGAATTATTGATTTTCATTGACCATAACATGACTATATCGGAATTTTTTGATTAAGCTAACACGATCAGTTCAGTGATTTAACTAATATTAATTGGTCACCAATAATTTTACTGATATTGATTGATTATCAGTTATTCGACTAATATAAATGGATTATATTGCTTAAAACTAACTGATAAATTCGATAAATATTTTCAATTACTTCTTTTCTAATATACCTCAGGTAAATTTGAAAAGTTCCAAAAATTAATGGCTATAATTGTTTGTATACAAAGTCCTAAACTTAACAATTCTAGTAATTAATTATTCAATTAATTATGATATTAAAGATTAAAATATTCCTAATCTTATGTTCTTTTCGTTCTTATCGTTTCATTACCAATTTATATTCAATAATATCTAACGTTAAAAATTTTCAAATAATTAAAATTTAAAATGTTTAGAAAGGTAAATGATGTCATATTATCGATTGATTCGTAAATATCAAATGACGAGAAAAAATATATTTCAATTTTCACTATTACTCAAACAAGTTGATTGAACAGTTGTCTTCTTATCAACATACTAATATTACATCCATAAGTTAAATCTATTATGTTGCACAGATGAATGGTACATTTTTAGGCCTAAAACAATTACAGTAATATTAACTAAAATATACATTATATTATTAATTAGTAACACCATACTTTCTTTAATAGAAAAATATTTATTTATTATTTTTTATAATTATTATGTGATTTAGAAGATTTGCAATTATTATTTTTTGATTTTATAACAGTTGGAATGTTACAGTATCTTTTTCTTTTTTTTAATAATTATTGTATGATTCAGGTAATGTTATTTTTGTTTTGTTTTCTTTTTATTTTGTTTTATTAATATAATATTAGCAAAAAACCTCACTAATATGGGATTTTTTCATAATTTTTGAAATTTATAAACAATAAACATTGAATATAACAAATAAATAAAACTTCAATATAATAAATTTGATAAAATGTTAAGGATGGAATAAAAGTGATAAAAGTTTTTAAATGTAATTAAAAGCGAAAACTAATTAATTATGATTACGAATGATAAATAGCTCTTTTTTTCACGTATATTAGTGCAAAAACGATTTTTAAAAGTATGATATGCTTACGTACGTGAAAACTTCTGCGGAAATTTTAACGTGGAAAAAAAATTGCTACCTTTAACAGTTTATTGTTAAAATATCAATGATAAATAAATGATAAATTCGAACGAATTCTTCTTCTTTTTTTTTTTTAGATGGCATTTGATTCATTACGAAATTATGCAAATGAATTTTACGTACAATTAACACCATATGAAAAAGTTGCTGTAGCTGGCGGAATTGTCATCGCATTTTATATTCCGTACAAATATCTGATTACACGAAAGCGCAAAACACCAATTAAAGATAATTACAAGGAAGGTTGGTATTTTTTTTTCTTAAATCATTAAGATTTTCTTAAATGCGTTAAGAATTTTATTTGTTGGTAAGTTTCTTTTGTTTTATTTTGTCCTTTAATTTGTAAATAATTGTAATTAAAATAATACTAGTAAATATTAACAAAATTAATTAATCCTACGAAAGACTGATCAATTTTATACAACATTGAGCAATTTTTGATTATAGAACTTTTAAATTTTTAAGATTGTAAATTAAAAAGTTCCCATATCTTAAAATGAGATATTTCAACAAAATGCTTAATCTTAATTAATTAAACTTGCTTATTTACAATTACTCCTGAAATTCTATCCATTTATTAAATCATCTATATATTTGAGATAATTATTTATTGTTTTTAGGGATGGTTTATTTATATCAATTTCCACGGATCAAATATGCACCAACTATTTCACCATTTTGCTTAAAATTGGAAACTTGGCTGCGTATGGCTGATATAAAATATGAAGTTAGAATTTGAATATGAAAAAAATTATTCAAAATAATCTTTATTTGAATGAAATTTAAATTTTTGCAAAATATTTTAAAAATTATCATTAAATTAAACGAATTCCATTTCAAATAAAATGCTTTAAAGCTGCTATTTTCTTTTTTCTCTTAATTATAATGTTATATGATAATTTAATTAAGTTAATTGAATAGGTAGGTAGGTGATTAAGTAAAAGTAAGTAACTAATTATAGAATGTATGCTCTTGGACTATACGTTCACTGGAGGGTACATTACCATTTTTGGAATATAACGGCAAAGAATATCCGGATTCAACACTTGCAATACGGTAATAACAGTTACATTTGATTTGATATTATTTTATGCTAATACTTGAATAATTTATACTTAAATACTTTTCTTTCCTTTATATTTATTTATGATTATCATATCATATCATATATCATTCCTGATTTAATTATATCAATAAATGCTTATCCTAAGAAGAAAGTTTAAATTAACTAAATCATATGAATAATTAAAATTTTTAGTGATATGACAAGAATTTTTGCTAAAGAATCAATGGAAAATCATTTAAATGATGAACAAAAAGCAACAGTTCGAGCATTTGAATCAATGGCCGAGAATTCATTGATAATGACCGTTGGCTATTTCCGAATTATGGAACATCTCGATGATATCTTTGAACAACAAATGCCGGATCATGCATTTGGCATATTAACACCAATTGGAAATTTTTACTAAAAATAACGATTTCTTCAAGGGTATCATTTTCATAAATTTGCATAACTTTCATAACTTTTTGCAAAATTTGCATTTTAATAACAAAACGATGAATCATTGCTTTCAATAATATGATATGATCATTGCCTTCAATGATATGATATGATATGATCGTTGCTTTAAATGATATAACGTGATCGTTACTTGGGATGTTATGATCAGAGGAATGAATTTTTTTTTCTGCTTAAAATGATATGATAATTTTTCTGTGATTAAACGGAACGATGAGAAAAAAAATAGAAATGAATAACAAAATGATATGAAAAAGCTCATTTAAAAAAAAAAAAAAAACGTCAATAAAGTATTTTATTATTATTCTTTAAATAATTAGTGATATAATTATCTTAAAGAAAGTTTACAAAATTATTTTTAAAATTATTCACTAAAAATATGTTAAACTGATAGATCCAAGTAATAAATTAAATTATAACTGACAATATTCCAAACTTCTATTCCAAACTTTTTTTTTGTGTTGAACAATTAAGCATTGTTACAATCTTTCATATTTCAATGTTAATTTAATTCTTATCAGTTCCGTTAATTAATTTTCTGCAAAAATTACTTTTGCTAATTAGATGAGAATTTCAGGTGAAAAAAAAGATGAAAATAATTGCTGTTGGAAAGCATAATCGTGATGAAATTATCAATATTGCCAATGATGATTTGAAAGCAATTTCATCCTATCTTGGCAATAAGCATTATTTTGCTGGTTTTAAGCCAACAAGAGTAAGAACAAATATTTTCAGTTTAATTTTCAAATTTCTTTTAAATATCAAAATTTAAAATTCAAATAAAATTATCCACCAAAAAGATTTGTTGATTATTGCAAACTACGGGCGTTTTTTTTTTTTTTTTTTCTGGTTGATGCGACATTATTTGGAGTGTTGGCGCTAATTGTTTATGCACCGTATGATTTACCACAAAAAAGGACAATTGAACAGGAATTCCCAAATTTGAAAGAATATTGTGATCGAATGAAAGGTCTGTTTTTTTCCCCCTTCCCCCAGCAATTTTGTTTTTATTCAAATTTAAATTTTAAGTTAGAATTTATAAAAATAGAGGAATGCTGTATTGCATTTGTTGATATTTGGAGTTAACATTTTATATTTTATCAAATTTCAATTATGACATTTCACTATCATAAGCAATTACTGAATTAATCAAATTCAAAAGAAGAAAAAAGTGGAAAGCAAGTATTGAACAAAATAATTATCACCATTTATTGTTAGGATAAAGAATCGAAATGAAATATCAAATTTGATTAAAGTATTTAATTTTAGGTCGATATTGGCCAGACTGGAACAAGTGCACAACAGAGTTTGTAACATCTTCCCAATGGAAGCATAATTTATGAACGAACGAGAATTCGAATGAAAAGAAAGGAATGAATGAAAAACGAAAATTCCGGAAAAAAAAAATGAATGCCTAAAAAAGAAAAAAGAAATTCTAAAAGCAAACTCTTACATTTTACAAAAGTTTCTATAAATTTACATCAAATTTACTATTTTACAAATTAATTTTGAAATGTTAATTTGAAAATAAACATTAATCAAAATATTCAACATGTTTAGTTTATCAAATATTTTCCAAATCATTAATTTCAAATATATTTCACAAGTGATTTTCTTTTTTATTATATCAAATTTACAATAGTTTTATTACAAAAAACTTTTTTTAGAAATATGTGATTTGAAATGATTTGGATAATAGTTAAAATAGTTTTACCTAATAATTTGAAATTTAGAAATGATTTGATATATTTATAGAAATGAATAACTTAAAATGACGTTGATAACATAAAGTCTTTTTTTTCGTCGCATTTATAATGAAGTATATTGTATCAATCATATGGGAAAAAAAATTTCAAAGGTATATATATGTAATATATCATCGTTAATATTTTCATTTATTAATGAACAGGTTTTACAAATTTATTTAAATGTATCGTTTATTATTATTATTATTATTATTATTATTATTATTATTATTATTATTATTATTATTATTATTATTATTATTATTATTATTAATTATTATTAATTATTATTATTACTATTACTAATCATGAAAGAAAGGACAAACAGTATTTTCATAAACAAAATGTGTATGCAAATATCGAAATAATATGTTGCAATAATTAAAGTATTTCTGTATCGTAGAAATATATCTTGTAATAACCGAAGTAAATTTATTAATATAAGACTTTGTAGTATACAAAATCTCATGTTCAAAATATCTTTAAAATGAACGATTCATTTAAAAGAAAAATAATAACGTAAAAAATATTTTATTATACCTAAAAGTTATCACTTTACTCAAAATGGAATAAATGATTTTTAATTTGATAATCATTAAAATCATATTCATTTTCAAATCTGATAAACAAGTTTATGTATAAAATGATGAGAGTGTTGCAACTATTTTGTGATCTGATAACCATAACTATATTCAATGTTTAACATATCTTGCAATTCCGATAAACCAATTCATATGCAAATTCTTCCTGTATCAGAACTAATACCTAATGTTGTAAACCATTCCCACTCTATAAAATCTTGGTCCTTAAACTTTCCTTGACCAGTGACCATTTTAGCTCTTTTATTTGTAGCATGGACAATAAGGTTCAAAAAACAATAAATTTTGTTAATTTGAACTTTAATCAGAACTTTTAACATGTCTCTTTATCAAACATTGATAAGAATAGCTTCCATCTGCTTCCCACTCATCATGCCGCTACTTTATGGACCATATTTTAGTTTTTGTGGATCATCGATTTAGAAACTACTTAAAACAAATAGTCTAAACGTCGCTAATGCTCAACCCTAAACTTCGATTCGCTCCAACAGCACAACTGTCACACTGTCTGTCACTAGACTTCCCTTCAAATGACAACAAAAAATGCAACTCAGTGATCTCAGCTTATATCACTCATCAATTAATAAAACCTTGTAAAAGAATGAACTTATTGACAACAACAGTAAACAAAAATAAAATAGACACTTCATTCGGGCAAATGGACTCCAATGATCATTGATCATTGATCATTAATCATTTGAAGTGTTGGTCATCAAATGTCATCAAATATTTTTTGTTTTTATTTTTATTCAAGTATTTTTATATTTTTTGTTTTTGCTTTTTTTTTCTACCTCATATTTTCATATTTTATTAGCCTTTCTACTGTCTTCTTTGATAAATTTTTGATAACCACAAAACAATGAAAGTTCATTTTACAGTACATTTTACAAATTTAATATTTTGCAAAGTACATTTTACAGTACATTTTACAAATTTAATATTTTGCAAAGTACATTTTACAGTACATTTTACAAATTTAATTCAAAATTCCTAATAACAATTTTTCCTAAGAACAAAAATGCGTCAACAATTCAAGCATCACATAAATTTTGAATTTAACTCTCTTACGAACATTACAATTATTATAACTTATAGCAACATATGCGGAAATTTGTACAGCACAAAAATGAATAAACAATTGTTTTCGCTTAACTAATTGAAATTATTATAAGATTAGTTCCTTATTTGATATAATTACAGTTATGAAATATTGTCATATTTAA